GCCAAAACCAGCTCTATACTTGAATAGAGAAATTTCTGCCCTCTGATTTTCTTACTACCTTTATCCCCCTCACCTACCTGTCTTGTCAAGGGAACAGTATCACTAAAAATTCAGATATGGTCCCAAATAATCAAGTAGACTCTGTGAAAGATTGTTATAGACATGCACAAATAGCTGCATACAATAATGTTACAGTAAAAATAGAAGATAATTATAGCTCTAGAGGGAAGTGACCAAGTAATACTGGAAAAATCTGAGATTGCCAGACTCAGATCAATTGACTTGGGGAAATTATCTCTTAGGATCCTTTGGTTTTCCCAAGGTAGTCTTGTAGAGAAACTGTTAATAAGGAGAAATAAAAGATTTGTCATATTTTTATGATAATACTTTGTCATTTCCTAAAACTATTTCAAATTTTTGTTTGAATTCATTTTCTGAGCATGTTTCTACTTTTTTATTATGTGATTGACAAATAAAAATTATATAAATTTATCACATAAAATGTAATGTTATATATAGATAGATATAGATAGTGCAATAATTAAATCAAGCTAATTAACATACCCATCACCTCACATATTTATTATTTTGTGGTAAGAACTAGAGAAAAACATAGGGGGAAAGTTCCATGATATCAGTCTGGGTAATTATTACTTGGCTATGACCCTAAAATCACAGACAAAAAGCAAAAATAGACAAATTAGATTACATCAGAATGAAAAGATCTTGCAAAACCAAGAAAACAATCAACAAGGTGAAGTGACAACCAACAGAATGGGGAAAAATATTTGAAAATCATGTATCTGATAAGGGGCTAATATTCAAAATACATAACTCAACAGCAAGAAAACAAATAAACCAATGAAAAAAACCAATGAAAAAAATGGACAACAGACCTGAATAGGCATTTTTCAAAAGACACACAAATAACAAACAAGTATATTTAAAAATGCCCCAAACTGGCAACTATATTCAATCTTTGAGGATTTAACTGAGACAAGAATAAAAATTATGTCATTAACTGAAAACAAAATGCCCCAAATCACTGGTCATCAGAGAAATGCAAATTAAAACTACTATAAAATATCACTCATACTTGCTAGTGTGGTTATCATGTAAAAAGAGAGAAAGAGAGAGAGAGGAAGAAAACAAATATTGAAGAAGATGTAAGGAAAAGGAAGTCCTTGTACACAGTTGATAGGAATGTACGATAAATTAGTACAGTCATTATGGATAACAGTATGAAGTCACCTTAAAAAATAAATAAATAAATACAATTCTATATCATCCAGTAATTCCATTTCTAGGTATATATCAGGAGATATTAAAATCAACCTATCTGCATTCCCATATTTATTGTGGCCTTACTCATAACAACCAAGATATAGAATCCACAGATGAATGGATAAAGAAAATGCAGTCTGTATAACAAAAGAACATTTTTTAGCCACAAAAAAAGAAGAAATCCTGTAATTTGCAGCAACACAAATGCATTTGAAGGGCATTAGGTTAAATAATATAAACCAGGCCCAGGAAACCAAATACCCTATGATTTCACTTACATGTGGAATCTAAAAACGTTGAACTCATAGGTGGAGAGTAGAATGGTGACTACCAGGGGATGGTGGAGACAGTGGGGCAGGGGTAGATATTCAAAGAATATAGAATTTTAGTTAGATAGGAAAAATAAGTTGAGGTCTACTGTACAACACAGTGACTATAGTTAATAACAACATATGTTAGGCTTGAAAATTGCTATCAGGATAGATTTGATATGTTCTCATCACAAAAAAAAAACCAGATATATGAGATAATGCATGTGTTAATCAACTCAATTTAGCCATTCTACAATACAATGTATAGTTATTTAAAAACAACAAGTCATACACAATATATATATCATTTTTATGTCAAAAAATAACTAATAAAATGAGAAAATCCAATTTATAATAAGTACAAGAAGATTATAAAACCATCTCTATTCTTTTCTCAAAGAGATATCACAATTAACTTTTTTAAAATAATTTTTTATTTAACTTTATTTTTATTTTAATTTGATCAAAGAGAGACAGAGTGTGTGGAGAGAGACAGATGGAAAGTGAGAAAGCAAACTGCCAGGCCCAGGACTCGAACCAAGGTCAGCCACGTGGAAGTCCAGCACCGTTAACCACCACACCTCCTGCTGGCCACCACAATTAACATTTTAACTTACATATTTTTTAAAGAACTATTTATTTGATTTATCTTTTTTTTTTTAATTTGCTACCAGGCACTTGTACTCACCAGAGAGAGACAAAGAGAAGGATAAGAAAAATGAGAAAGAAAGATGGCAAATCCAGAACTCAAACCAGTCAGCCATGTGAGAGTCCAGTACCTTAACCACTGTGCCACTTGATGGCCCCATACATACTATTTTTTTCTAGATTTTTGCCATAGGGTGTATGTGCTTACCTGAGAGAGATAGAGAGGGAGGGACAGTGAGAATTCACCCCCCCATTCCCCGAGAGGAAGGGACCATGCTGCAATTCCCTTTCCTCCTTTCTTCCCTTGGGATCTTGAGAACACATGCACACGTGCCTGAGTGTCTCACAAATTGCTGGGTCCAGGACTCAAACCTCAGTCAGTCATGTGAGAAACCAGTGCCTTAAACACCATAACCACCTGCTGGCCCATACACGCATTATTTTTCAAATAGATCAAATTTTAAATCTTGGTTTATCATCTCCCATTTCACTTATTAATTTACATTGAGCACCTGCCTTATGTTATTAAATATTATTTTATTGGATCATCAGAGAAGTCATGATGTATTTTCTATGTTTTTCTATACAAAAATACACCATGACTTTTCCAGTGACCCAATATAATATTTAAATATAATATAATCCCATAGTGTTCATGATTTATTTAGTTTATAATTGTTTCACTATCAACAAGTAACTGACATAAAAGGGAGGGTGAGAAGATAGAGATGAGGTGGCTCTAAGTGAAGAAATAAAAGCTATGATTCACGAGTATTCATGAATATTACATCAATTCTATGAGAAACAAAATTAGACAATAATTAAGAGTCCAGCCTCTGGAGCCCTTCCTGGATTTAAACCCAAATCTGCCATTTACTGACCGTAGACAAGCTATTTGATCTCTCTTTGCCTCCATCTCCCAAAATGGAAATGATAATAGTATCTATCTTAAGGACACTGTGAGAATTGAAAGAATTAACATAAGTAATGCTAAGAGCAGTGCCTGAAATGTAATATAGACTCTATAAATACTATTAGTTTTTCTAGTGAATCTGAAGATGGAAGTAAACTAAATCTTCAGGTTTGCAGATGACACAAAGCAAGAGAAGTACACAAGATTGTGAAGATATATTACAAGATATTTTGAGTGTATGAGTCAGGAATAAAAATAGAAGATAAATTTAACATGTGGTAGATAAGTTAGAAATAAATTTTATTTTAAAATTTATATATTCCCAGCAAATAGTTAAAATGCAGGAAAGTTGAGACCAGCAGATGACATAATGCTTATGTTGCTCCCACATAGTCGACCACTGTTGGAGAGTTTTGGTTTTTTTTTTCACTATAGGGCATGTGTGCTCGCCAGACAGAGAGAGACATAGAGACAGAAAGCGGGAAATCACCCCCAGAGGGGATGGTCACGATGCAATCCCTTCTCCTCCATTCTCCTCTCAGGATCTTGGGCACACACACGCGCCCGGCGTGAGTTTTAAGCCACCGGGTCCGAGACGCGAACCGCGGTCGACTACGTGGGAGTCCAGCGACATAGCCATTACGCTAACTGCTGGTTCCCGATAGTCAACCACTATTCAAGTCCTGGACCTGGCAGCTTAAAATTTACGCCGGATATGTGTGCCCAAAATCCAGAAAGGAGAATAGAGGAGAAGGGATTGTGGCATGGCCATTCCCCCAGGAGATGATTTCTCACTTCTTTCTCTCTATGTCTCTCCGATAAGCACATGCACTCTATAGCAAAAATCTCTGAAAAAAAAATTTTTTCAGAAAACTAGTCCAGGTTAAATTTTTAAAAAGTAAAGCCTTTCAAAAATAAGCTCACTTAATTATCATCATAAACCTCTAAGTTCTCTTGCCACCTTTAAAATAAAAAAGTTAATTTCAGAGAGGTTAAATGACTTAGGTAAGATAACCTAGCAAGTGAGTCGATGCTATTAGGACCAGAATATCAACAGTTCACTGCAAATTTTGTGATATACTATATTGACATTCATTTCACTCTTGTAAGACAAACACTGAAATATTTGGGAAAACAGCCACATCTATTTGTTGGGCACAGTCTACTTCTGCATCAGCAGACTACCTCTTATTTTTGTAAATAAAGTTATATAGGAACTCAATCATGCCTATTCATTTATGTATTGCATATGGCTAGTTCCATGTTATGAAAAGAGAATTAAGTGATTGTAACAAGACCATAGAGCCCACAAAACCAAAACAATTTCTGACATCCCTCTTCACAGAAAAAGTTTGCCAACACCAGACATATTTTTCAACACATGGAAAAAAAGCACAAAACCAAGATAATATGAAACATGTAGGTAACAACAGATCTTAAAGAGGATTGCTACTTTTTACTTTAACAAGTAAATGGGGTGATGGGATGCAGACAGTAAATTTTTATGTTAAGAATACTAACTACAGGGGAAGACAGCTTAAAAACAGTAGTGCGACCATCCTGAGAACCAAATTAGTTAAACCATTTCTTATATATATGTGAAAAACATTTTTGGCACAGCTCGTTGAGAAATGAAAAGTAAGAGTTCATCTTTGATCGTTATACAGTTCTTTCTCTTCAAGGATGAGGTCACTCATTCTTCAGTGGGAATAATATAGACCCACCATCCAAATGATGAAAGTCTATGAGCACTCAAAGTGATGCACAGTCGCAAGTGTCTCATGCAGATGGGCTATTATGGACTTTCAATCGTCATTGGAGATTTTGTATTTCCATCAAGCCATTTAAGAGGTTTTGCTACAACCCATAAACTGACAGAACATTCTCCTCACTGCTACCTTCATCTCTCTGTTTCTGAATGTGTAGATGACTGGATTTAGAAAAGGAATCAAAACTGCATCAAATATTGCTAGAAATTTATCCAGATGTGTTGAAGGAGAGGGCCACATATAGAAAAAAATCAGTGGACCAAAGAATAAAATCACCACAGTAATATGAGCAGACAGAGTAGAAAGAGCCTTAGAAGAATCTCCTGAGGAGCATTTCTTAATAGTTGCCAGGATGAAGATGTAAGAGAGGATAAGCAAGAAGAAAGCGCCCAAAGATATGAACCCACTATTAGCAGCGACCATGAACTCCAGTTTATAAGTATCTGTGCAAGCAAGTTTGATGAGTCGAGGTATGTCACAGTAAAAGCTGTCCAATACATTAGGGCCACAGAAGGGTAAATTTACAACAAAAGCCAACTGAGACAATGAGTGAATGAAACCAATGATCCAGGCAACCACCAGAATGTAAAAGCACATTCTTGGGCTCATGATGGTCAGGTAGTGGAGGGGCTTACATATGGCCACATATCTGTCAAAGGCCATGGCTATGAGAAGAACCATCTCCGTTCCCCCAACAGCATGGCTAAAGAAGATCTGAGCAATACATCCCCCAAAGGAGATGACTTTCCGCTTCTTAAAAAGATCACAGATCATCTTGGGTGCGGCAATAGAGCAAAATATCAGATCAATGACAGAGAGGTTTGCCAGCAGAAAATACATGGGTGAGTGCAAGTAAGGGTCAGAAGTTATAGTAACAACTATGAGGAGGTTTCCCATTATACTGGACACATAGAAAAGACAAGAGAAGAAGAAAAGAAAAATCTGGATTTCCCAGGAATTGGAGAGTCCCAGGAACACAAATTCAGTTACTACAGAGTAGTTGGCCCCATTGATTGGCTCATTTGATCGGTTTACACTCATGTTATCTAAAGGGAAAAAACTGAGAAAATTCAAATTAATGATATTATATTAATACCTTCTAAGGAAATACATATAAATTATAGAGGTCAAATGTTACCTTAGCATTTTACAAAAATCTAATAATATTCCTTTGACCACTAATGCTGTTTGTTATATAGGAGAGTGAGTTGCCACATGGACTTGCTAACATAATGAATGGTGAGTGGTGTAGTGTATCAGTTTCCAGGTTGCACCTGATAAAAACACAAACAAAGGGAGAAGAATCTCCTGAGGAGCATTTCTTAATAGTTGCCAGGATGAAGATGTAAGAGAGGATAAGCAAGAAGAAAGCGCCCAAAGATATGAACCCACTATTAGCAGCGACCATGAACTCCAGTTTATAAGTATCTGTGCAAGCAAGTTTGATGAGTCGAGGTATGTCACAGTAAAAGCTGTCCAATACATTAGGGCCACAGAAGGGTAAATTTACAACAAAAGCCAACTGAGACAATGAGTGAATGAAACCAATGATCCAGGCAACCACCAGAATGTAAAAGCACATTCTTGGGCTCATGATGGTCAGGTAGTGGAGGGGCTTACATATGGCCACATATCTGTCAAAGGCCATGGCTATGAGAAGAACCATCTCCGTTCCCCCAACAGCATGGCTAAAGGAGATCTGAGCAATACATCCCCCAAAGGAGATGACTTTCCGCTTCTTAAAAAGATCACAGATCATCTTGGGTGCGGCAATAGAGCAAAATATCAGATCAATGACAGAGAGGTTTGCCAGCAGAAAATACATGGGTGAGTGCAAGTAAGGGTCAGAAGTTATAGTAACAACTATGAGGAGGTTTCCCATTATACTGGACACATAGAAAAGACAAGAGAAGAAGAAAAGAAAAATCTGGATTTCCCAGGAATTGGAGAGTCCCAGGAACACAAATTCAGTTACTACAGAGTAGTTGGCCCCATTGATTGGCTCATTTGATCGGTTTACACTCATGTTATCTAAAGGGAAAAAACTGAGAAAATTCAAATTAATGATATTATATTAATACCTTCTAAGGAAATACATATAAATTATAGAGGTCAAATGTTACCTTAGCATTTTACAAAAATCTAATAATATTCCTTTGACCACTAATGCTGTTTGTTATATAGGAGAGTGAGTTGCCACATGGACTTGCTAACATAATGAATGGTGAGTGGTGTAGTGTATCAGTTTCCAGGTTGCACCTGATAAAAACACAAACAAAGGGCATTTGATGTTAAATTGCTGTATCATTAAGATCAACATTAACCATCATAACCAATCACATATATTAGGCAGATAATGAGGGCTATTCTGATAGAGATTTGTAAGATGACTGTGACTCTGATTTGTTGCTCAAGCTGGAAATTGCCTTTTTCTATTTTATACTTCTCAAGATAATATTTGTTCTTTAAACTCAGATACCCTAGAGCTTATATTTCCTTGTAAATACTAGGCAATAAAAGATAAATAAATAAAAGATCTGTGAGTGAATGAATCCTTGAACTAAAGTCATCTCTATTAATTTATATATAACATTATGTGCCAGTAACCAACTAAATACAAGGAACGTATCCAAGAACAAAATAGACTATTTAAAAATAAATAAATAGGGGCCAACAAGTGGCAAGGTAGTTAAGATGCTGGATTCCCACATGGCCAATCCAGCGACTTGAAAACCACGCTGGGCACATATGCGTGCACACCCAAAATCCCCAAAGGAGAATGAAGGAAAAGGGATTGTGGCATGGCCATTTTCCCAGGAGGTGATTTCTCACTTTCTCTCTCTATGTCTTTCTCTTTCTTTCTCCAGCAAGCTCATGTACCCTGTGGCAAAAACCTAAAAAAATAAATGAAATAAATAACTGTATAATATATACAGAATATCAGATGATAATTTCACTATGGAGAAAAAATAAGCAAGAAAGAAGAGAGCAATTATTCTTTAATAGCATTGTCGGGAAAGTTCTTGCTGATAAGTTCACCAAGCAAAAATTTCAAAAAGTGAATGAACATGTCATAAATAAAGAGTATTCCAGGTAGAGATAATAGCAAGAACAGAAACCCTGAGGTAGCAGCTTACTGGGTATGTTCAAAAAACAAGAAGGTCAAAGAAGCTGCACCGGCTTATGCAAGGAAAAGTGAATAGAAGATAATATTGGAGAGAACAGAGATACATATCCTTATAGGCCACTCTAAGAATTTTGGTTATTATTATGAATGAAATAACAAGCAATTGGGTTTTAAACAAAACAACAAAATCTAGCTTACATTGTTAAAGGGTCAGTCTGGCTGCTGCCTCGTGAATACACTTCAGTCTGAGGGTAGAACAGAGATTGATTAGAAACATTTTTATCACAAGCAAACAACGATGTAAAAGATAATGTTGGCTTAAATTAAAGTAATACATGTAGAGTTAGGGAGAGGTAGCTAGATTCTGAGGAAAAGAGAAGGTCTTCAAAAAGTTTATGGAAAATGGTATTATGGAAATTTTTCCAATGTTTTTGCACCAAAATAAACATGTGCTTTAATTTAATTTTTCCATGGAAATTTTAAAGTCCCCTTGTATTGCAACAATACATAGTGAAATTTCCGGGGCTATAGATAACCTAGACCTTTTGGCAATCACAACACAAAGCATCTTACTGAAGAGTTTTCATAGGACGATAACAAAAACACCCCAAATCTACACAAGTATAAATACTTATGATAGAGTAAATATATATCTAATCACCAAATCTGATGACTCAAGAATAATAAAACATTTGAATTTTTAAAATGGGAGTCTGAGATAAATAAAAAAAGAAGCAATAATTTACACAGCAAGTTGACAGTTATGAAACTTAAAACCACAAAGTCCAGGCCAAAAATGTTGTTATAATCAAGTAGAATTTTTTAAGTTAAAGAATAAAATATTCTCTTCTTACTATATCATACTTTCAATGAATATTTAAATTGGCCATTTCTCCTTTTTTGAAGGATATTATGGTTTTCAGACCAATCTCACTGAACTCTTTAAACTTAGTTTTCCTAAATAAGATAGTTTCTTAAGCCAAGAATAACTTCTGCTTTTAAACACTTAAATTTCACATTATCAGGTATTTTTTAAAGCTAGTCAATACATTTCTCTATAAAATATAATAAAGTTATCAACCCAGAAGATATTTAAAATTGATTAAAAGACAAAATTCTACTTCTAGCTAGAAAAATCTACTTCCAGCCAGAAATATCTCAAATAACCATCTCAGGCCCATTTAAAATTTATGGGATATTATTTAACTACTCTTTTGCCTATCTTTTTTGTCACTAAAGATCCGTGCTTGGAAAACTAATATAGAGGTAATCAGCTTCAATTAAATGAGGTAAAAAAAAAAAAGTAGGCAAAAAGAAAAATCTGTTTAAATGAATTGATTGCAAATTTTAGTTCTTCCCATCCTACTCTACATAATGGCCTATATTTAATAGTTTAGTACTTAACAGATGCTTTTTTAAAAAAAGAGAATTTTATTAAATATCTTCTGGAAGTTATTTTGGCAGAATCTATAAGGAAGGAACAGCAGCAATAAAGTCTGCTTAGCTTTTTAGCTGAATGTACATGGATTAGGAGCTGTCACATAAAATAAGTTTCTATATTGAACAAAACAAGTCAACCATGAAACATATTAAGAATGTTCTCAAATGTAACATCTTTTGTGATTGAACTAGAACTACTTTGCAGAAGTAAATTAGCAATGATCAGAGATGGAGCGCAAAGACAGCATATATCCAGAATACATCTCCAATATGTACACACTTTATTACAGGACACATCACAATACAGGGGAAGCATGTCTTTTTAAGTGCCTCTCATTAATCCAGTGGTTCTCTACCAAGAGTGCCGTACCCCTCAAAAGGCTTTGAAAAAGTCTGAAAATATTTTTGGTTGTCAGCAGTAGGAGAGGGACAGGGGGAGAAGTATAACTTGTATCTAGTGGGTATAGACCAGGGATACTGCTAGACATCCTACAAAGTACAGGATAACCTCCCACAACAAAGAATTCTTGTCCCCAAATGTCAATGGTGTGGAGATTTAAAATCCCTGCAATGAACTATGACCTCCTCTGGAGAAAAGTCTCTTTTTTTATCATTTTATTCTTCAGACTACCCAGTACCATTCCTATCAGAAGGTGTAACCCTAATTAGTGCTTATTGGAGCAATAAACATTAAATGCATGGGTGGAAGAATGACTGTCTGGCTGGATGGACGGAGGAATGATGAATAAGTGAATATCCCTGCATTGAAATATGATCTCCTCTGGAGAAAAGTCTTTTTTTTTTATCATTTTATTCTTCAGACTACCCAGTACCATTCCTATCAGAGGGTGTAACCCTAATTAGTGCTTATTGGAGCAATAAACATTAAATGCATGGGTGGAAGAATGTCTGGCTGGAAGGATGGACGGAGGAATGATGAATAAGTGAATAGACAGATGTAATAGATAAAGGGAAGTTCTAATCGAACTGAAAGAAAGAAAGCTCTCTAAATACTTTCTAACTAGTTTGTTCTAGGTACACTGGGACCCTATAATGACCACACTTCACACAAATATAAACCTCACAGTAGAATTCATCATTATATCCCCTAATTTAATAAATCAGATCAAGTCCTCTTTTTTTTATGTTGTTATATTAATTTTCCATCTTCCATCTATCTGTTCCCAGACCATAGCATTGTCAGGTAATTAATAGTACCTTGGTAACTGAGCTTCTGCTGGTGCTGCTGCTGTTATATAAAAAATTGAAAGAATCCCATAAAAAAGGTAGTTATATAACAGCATGAGAGATTAATGATGACCAGGCACTGCTGCAGAAATTTGGATTTGCCTACTTCACTCATGTGGTCAGGGGAATTATCCCTGGAATCTGATTGGTTTAATAAGAACAACCAAAAGAAAAGTCTTGTTAATGAGTCACTGGAGAGGAAGCAAAAATAAGGCTAGATGTTTTAAGAGCTTCACCTTTGGCGATTTTACCAGCCGATTCTGACTTGTTATTTGGTGATTTTAAATTGAGGCAGCATGCCTGGGAAGTACAGATAGTTCACAAAAAGCATGTGTATTTCACTATCAATTTAAATCATGTTAAGTACATGTCAACCTAAAAAGAAGAATGAGGCATAATAAGTGCAATTAGAGTGGTTTGTTTGAATCAGGGCTTCAGTCAAATTCACCTAAATAGACAGACTGATTTTCCAGACATGTACTCATAGAAATGACCACAGAGAAAACTGATTTATATAACAAAGAGAAAGGCTAGGAGAGGGGGAGTTGCAAACTGTTTGGCAAGAATTGCATTGCACTGTTTAAAATAACTCAGTGGCAGGTAAGTGGCTATAGCTTACTTTATACATCATGAACTAGTGTACACTGGGATGAAGAGAGGAGGGTCACATTATAAAAATCTGTAACCCTTTGCATATTAGTGTACATACTCATGGACATAACCAAAGTCTCAGTCCTATGCCCTACTGGGACCATTTAAAATTTAAATGGACCTCCGATTCCAAGCAGCTTAGAAAAACACTTTCTCACAGGAGAAATTACTTGAATCTCTTTCACTTAAAAAAAAAAAGAAATAGGTGGTAGGACCAGCAGTTAGCATAATGTCTAATGACGGGGCCATGCAGACAACACAAGCTGATAAGGAGGAGGCAGAGCCCAGTTTACAAGCCCTTCCTTGTGTCCTTTACTGGCCTGTAGTTAATTTCTCTGCCGTGAGTTTTACTGTTATTACGGTACCCTGCAAGAGTAAGATATCACCCCCAACCATTACAATAAAGTCAATTAGTGATCTTGTAGGAATATGGTTCCCTAAGACGGAGGGTCAGGAAGTATGAGACTCTCCCACCTGTCTATTTTAAGTCAAAATTAACATTTGTTAGGTCAAATTAGTATAAACCA